ATCTTTGGATCCATTTTTTTGGGGCCGTCTTCTTACACCTTTTCATTAATCGAGACTGCTACTACTTGTCCTGGATCTCTGGCTCCATTTTTATTGAGGTCGTCTTCTTACACCTCTTCATCAATTGAGGATACTGCTACTCGTCTCGGATCTCCAAATCCATTTTTTATTGAGTTCAGCTTGTTATACATCTTCATCATTCACACTTGTTGCTACTCGTAAACTTGGTTCCTGCTCCAATCTAAGGGGGGAGTATTGAAGATTTACTGTTGTTACCGGAGGAATAAATAGAGGAAAATCCTCCGGTATTAATGTTGTCTCCTATTTTCTATCTCTTTTCATCTCTATTGTATTATGTATGAAAAGAGAGTATAATAAAAGATATGTAGCCCTTTGGGCTTTGTATGCTGTGGATGTAAGCCCTAGTGGTTGAACCACGTATATCATTGCCTTCTGTTCTTCATACTTTATTTTTCTATTCAAATTTAACATGGTATCAGAGCCAAATGTCTCGAGTTCAAACCTCACCGTCACCCTAATTAAAAAATTGAAAAACACGTGTTAGACCAAAAAAAAAGAAAAAAAAAAGGCCACACACACGTGAGGAGGCGTGTTAAAGGATGTAAGTATAAAAGTTGCACTCTCTATAACAGCTTAAGTTTTTGGAGTAGATGGGTAGTTAACACTTCTCCAACTAGGAAACTTTCTCCAAAGTTGGTAGCTTGAACCCGTTTTGGTAATCTGTCTGTATCTCTCTCCTCGGGTGTCAAAACAACTCAATCCCCACGTAGTTTGAAAGGAAATTCGAAGAGCTACAATTTTGTATTTCGCGAGGAATTCATAAAATAGTTGTTTACCTTGTCAAAACTGGGCTGGAAGTCTGTACAAATTTTGGAATCCCTGTTTGACAGAATTTCCATATATGTCTTCTATATGAAAAAGGGACTTTGGGGCTGATCTTCTTTTATTTAAAGGGAGTTCTCTACATCATTAGGGGCATCACATACAGAGGAGCTTGAGGCTGAGATCAGAGGAGAAGCATTTGGAAGAAAGAAGAGATCAATCCGTGGCAGTAAAGATGTCTTCCTCAACCATGAAGAATTCCATTCCAAAGATGCTCGGCTAAACGCTTTGCTAGTGTTGTGATGTAGCCCTAGCTTAGCACCACTGGTTTGATTGTATTTATTTATTGGAGAACAATTATTATTCATGCATGATTATGTAACCTATAGGATTTTTAATTGACTTTTTAATAAAAATCGGTTTTAAGTTTTAATTCAATTATAAAGTGTAATTCTATCTTGTCTTAGATATTTGAATCTTATGATTGAACACAACTCAATTACTTCTTGTAGTTGTGAATGAGATGGTTATACAATGGTTTTTCTCTGAATATAATATTAGCATACTACACCCTAGAGTAAAGTAGTTAGTTGGTTTATGCTAATCGAAGATAGTCCATGCTTAGCTTTAATTTATAATATCTTCTAGCTGAATTAATATATGCTTGAATTTATAATATCCAATAAATTGATGCAATTGAATGGTAGTGCGACATTAGTGGTGAAGTCATGCCCCTAGTTTCTCTCTCTCTGGTTTTCTCTCTCTAAATTAATCATTGTTTTTTGTTTAATTTTATACTTAGTTCATCTAGATTAATACCAATTCAAACTTGTTTATCTTAATTCAAGTTAATTGAGAATTTGGTAAGTCCGTTGACATTAACACAAGTCCCGTGGGTACGACACCCTTACAAGTAAGCCCTATCTGCAAAGATTTGTGCGTTTGCGAGCGGTTACATATAAATCTTACAATAGTGGCTAACAGATTGGTTGGTGTTCTAGACAGTTTGGTTGGGAGGGAGCAAACGGCATTCATCAGAGGGGAAAATTCAGGGTAATATTATTCTTGCCCATGATCGTCTCAAGGGTTTTTCTAGCAGCAAAGAAAGTGCTTCTATGGCTATGAAAAATGATCTAAAAAGGGCATATGATTCCATTTCTTAAAATTTCTTGATCAAGGTCATGCACAGCTATGGGTTTGGGCAACAATGGATTGGTTGGGTGAAGCAATGTATGGAATTTGCTAAATTTTCACTCCTTGTGAATGGTGTCCCTGCAGGTTTTTTTCCTACTGGCAAAGGTATCAGGCATGGATGCCCACTCTCTCCCTTGCTTTTTACCTTAGTTTCATAATATTTCTCTAATTTGATGCAAAAGAAGGTTAATGAAGGTCATATTGAGTTGTGCAAGGCTGTCAACAAAGTGGGAATGCAGATTAGTCAACTTTTTTTTGCTGATGATTTATTCTTGATTCTTAAGGCCAGCTTGAGGAATGCTAGATCTGTCATGACTGTGTTTCAGGAATTTCAACAGGCTTCTGACCTCATTGTTAACAAGTATAAGAGCCAAGTTTTTTTCTCTGGTGCTGTGAGAAGAAAGAGAAGTTTATTGAGAATCATGCAGTTCAAACAGGGGATGTTTCCCATGAAGTATTTAGATTTGCCCTTAATTGACAAAAGCCTAAAGAACTGCTCCGCTCTCGTGGACAAGGCGGATTCCAAACTGACAGCTTGGAATACTCTGAACTTATCTGTGGCTGGTAGAGTATAATTGGTCAGGTCTGTTCTCACTACTTTCACCTACTATTGGTTAATTTGCCTCAAGCAGTGAAAAAAGAGTTCTCTACAAAAAAAAAAAAAATTGGGTTTCTAAAGATAATATTCAGAAAATGAATTGTCTCGGAATAAGGTTTCCTTGCCTAGGGGTGTTACAAGGATTGAAGATACCAACTTTGCAGTTCATTGCTCCCCAGCTTGGGATTTTATGCAGAATAAAGACACAAATGAAGCATATACCAGAAAGTCTAATTTCTGGAATTATATCCAAAGGTCAAAAGATTCTGCAATATGGAAGTCAATCCTACATGTTAGAGATTTTATGCTTAATAATATCACTTTCAATGTAGTTAATGGCAGTTCTTTAACTTGTTGTTGGATCCTTAGTTGAATGGGACTCCTCTGATCCAGCACTTCGGACTGAGGTCTTGGAGATCTTCTGGGTTGACAAAACATATCTTCTGCAATCTTTTCTTCATTAAAGACAATGTTATGTTCTTTCTGCTCGCCCTCTATATATTACTGATACTTTGAGAACAAAGGTCATTGTTCATTCTGGTGATGATACAATCAATGATGAAGACGGATGTTGCCTTGGCAGACTCAGAGAGAGTAGAGAGAACTAGATAGAGAAATAAGAATAGGTCCTCATCGGATGAGAGAGGGAAGATAAAAAAAAAAAAAAATAAAAATTAAAATTAAAAAAAAGTGGGCCAGCTAGAAAGAGGGGACAAAGTCAGATGAATTATAATAGGGAATCTTTTTCTTAAATTAAATAACAGGAATGCCATCTTTTGTCTTAACCATATTAGCATGTCTTTCAAAAAACTCAAACTTGCAACTTTCTTTTTAATTATTTTTAATTCTTCATTTTCTCTCCTTTTTTTTATTCATTTTTCATTGTGGGCCGTGTGTGCTTGTGTTTACATGGAAAGTGATGTGTGTAGGAAACAGAGCATATGCATGTATACGTGTATGTGCTGGTGTGGGTGTGTAGTGTGTGTTAATGGGTTTGTGATCTGAAGTGTGTGAGTGCATGTGGGTATTGAGGGTGCGCGTGAATATGGGTATTGTTTGTTTGTGTGAGAGTGTGAGGTGTGGGTGAGTGCTATTTACTGGGCCGTGGTATTTTTTTGTCAATCATGGTCATTTACAGGTTGAGGCCTGGACAGATGCTGATTATGCAGGATCAATTTCAGATAGAAGGTCAACTTCGGGCTACTACTATACTACTGTTGGTGGCAACTCGACTACTTGGCATAGTAAGAAGCAAGACACTGTATGTTTATTGTCATACAATAGAAAACTCCGGCAGTTTTTATTGACTTGCTTGGGCTGGTGGTGTGTTTAGTAGTATTGTTCTTCGCCTTGGTCGTGTCTCCAGCAGTTTTTATTGACTTGTTTGGGCTGCTGGTGTGTTCAGGAGCATTGTCTTCCCCTTTACTGTGTCTCCGGTAGTTTTTATTGACTTGTTTGGGCTTCCAATGTGTTCGGTAGCATTGTTCTTCGCCTTTTCTCCGGCAGTTTTTATCGACTTGTTTGGGCTGCTGGTATGTTCTATAGCATTGGTCTTTGCCTTCTGTCTCCTCCCGTCATCATTCGCACTTGTTGCTACTCGTCATCCTAATGACAAGTTGGGCATTCATGCTCTAACTTGAGGGGGAGTATTGAAGATTTAATGGAAGAATCAGTGGAGGAAAATCCTCAAGTAGAAGTTGTTTCCTATTATTGAAGATACTATAACTACAGGAATCAGTGGAGAAAAATCCTCCTTGTTTCCTATTTTCTCTCTTTCCATTCTCATCATCTCTTCTCCTATATAGAGGAGCCTCCAACATTGTATTGCGGATGAAAAGAAAGATTATAATGACAGATATGTATACTTTTGGGCTCTTTGTGCCGTGGATGTAGGTCTAGTGGCTGAACCACGTAATAGTTGTGTGGTCTACTCGTTTAATTTCTCTTTTTACATATATTTTATGCTTTACAACAGCTATGGGCATGCATACCACAATTATAATGTTTGTTTTAGTGCACCATTGATGATTAAATAAAAAAGAATACTCAGGCACCCGCCACACACCCATCCACCCACACTAACAACCTACACAAAAGCGCACAATTTGATTCGAGAACCTCAAAGACAGTGATTTAGGCCAATCTAGAAAGAGATGCAATAAGAAGAAAGCAGTTATCAATTACATTCAGATAGTCATCAAGTCCACTTGGGCGATAAAACCACATTTATAATATTTGTGAATACATATATAAATATATACTCACACATGTATATACCAACTGATGGAAACCAGCAAATACCATAATTACAAATGAAATGTAAACATTGTCTGCACGATATATATGAGTATAAAAGGGTATAAACCTGTTGTTCTTGTAATTTGGTATTCATGTCCTCTGCAACCTTAGTATAGTAAGCACTGTTACAGTAACCAAAGCATGATCAATATTATATAGTATTAGGTGCATGTCCATCTTAGAAATTGCAGATTAGTTACCCTTTCTCTACAAGTTTGGTTGACAAGCTGACTCTTTCTTGTTGGATAAGCTCCAATGTCTGTATGTTTAGAAGACAAAAAGACATCAAGAGAATAGCAAATGTATGTGTTTCAAGAGTTAGTCAAGCACTTGACCACCTCATACATTTGGTGATCAATAGTCAAGCACTTGACCACCTCGTACTTTTGATGATCAATATTGAAGAAAAAATGAATATGAAACTGTGTATGCAAACCATTTCTACCACTTTTAAGGCGCAGTAGAAGACTATAAATAACTAGTGTAAATTTGTTCCTGAGATGGAAACCACCCTATTTCCATACAGAGGACACCACTACTCAATTTTCCTTGTTTGAACTGTCAATTCTAAAATTCTCATTTCAAACAGGTGAGCTTATTTGAAATAGATGGGGCAGGCAGATCAGTAACTCTTGAGTTTCTCTTGAATAATTAGTAAGCAAACAAGTACTCTATAAGACCTTTCTAGGAAGAGGCAATTTTGAATCTTGCTCTTTCCTATTTGTGTACCCAGACAACATAGTGGTGCATAGCTCCTCTCTGCAGCATGTTGGGGTCATCTGAAGACTTTGTTTGTATTACTCAAGAATAACCACTCAAAGTTGGTAATTAACCAAATGAAGGGCATCTATGAAGTTAGAAAACCAAATCACTTAACTATCTTACAGCAGCGAGTGAATTAGCAGAGACCTCTGCATATTTCAACATTAAACATCAATATGGAACATGTCACTCTTTATAACTGTGCATTAAGTGGTGCTAAGTTGCTAACCATTTCATGGATATGGACCTTAATTAATTTTTCTCTCATTATACCTCCAATTGGCACTAATCATTTCACAAATATGTTCATTTCTAATTCTATCCTTCTTGCCACACATCTATCTCAACATTCGCATTTCTGCTACACTCACTCCATGCATATGTTGGTTTTTAACTACCTAACATTCTATCCCATAAAGAAAGCTAGTATAATAGTTGTTTCATAAAACTTTCATTCCAATCTTAGCAGAATATGTTGATCACGAAAATACTAGATGCGCTCTTCTATTATGAATGTTTTTTTTTTATAAGTTTTCTATTATGAAGATTGAACCTAAATAATACAAATGCTTGCTTTTTTATCCCCCTTGATCCGCGATTTTCACTACATCCCTACTTGTATTTCTAGATTTACTAAAGTTATACTCCATATGTTCAATTTTATTCCTACTAATCTTAAACCCTTTGTATTCCAAAGCTTCCCTCCAACCTCCGCTTGGCACTTAGTCCTATAGTTTCAACAATAAATAAAATACACCATAAAATCTCAATCTGAATGTCACCCATAACTTAGGCAAAAAGATATGTGTTCAACGCTGACCCTTAATGTAATCTTTCTGTAATTAGAAATTCACTTGTTTTTCCCATAGTTGTTGTAACTGTAGTCACAAGTTGTTGTAACTATAGTCACACATCCATCATACATGATCTTTATTGTGCCAATATATTCCTTTGTGATTTTTTTCATTTTTTAAAAGCCTCCATCTTAGTTTTTTTCTAAATCCTCCATATTAGATCTCCATGTAACCGATCATAGGCTCTCTCTAAATTAATATAACCACATGAAAATCTTTCTTCTTCTCTGTATCTTCCATTAGTCTTCCAGTAAGTATATAGCCTCCATCTTTGACCTCCCTGACATGAAAATCAATTTCCGACATGAATATAAATTGATTTTCCAACACTTCAGTTACCGTTTTATTCGTCGTTCCACCACTCTCTTCCAAGTTTCACAATATGACTCATTGATACAATACAAGGATAACTACTACAACTTTGTACATTCCCTTTATATGTGGGATGTACGTTGGATCTCTTTGTTGGACTCTCAGGTTGGGCGTTTCTCGGCATCCTGTGTTCTATCCATGGTGGAGGATGGCTTTCTTGGGTTTTTTCTGGAGTCTATGGGCCTACGGAGGATTGTGATTGCCATCTGTTCCTGGAGGAGCTGGGGGAGATCCGTAGTCGATGGTCGTTGCCTTGGTGTATAGGGGGGGATTTCAATGTTGTTCGTTCCCCTTTTGAGAGTTGACAGGGGGCAGATGGACAGCTGATATGATGGCTTTCTCAGAGTTTATTAATGGTTTCTGTTTGCTTAATTTGCCTTTGGTGGGTGGGCCTTTCACCTGGTCCAGTGGACGCTCTCCTCCTACTCTCTCTCGTCTTGATAGATTCTTGGTGTCGAGTGATTGGGAGGAAAAGTTTTCTGATGTTGTTCAGGCCACCTTGGCTCGTCCTTTGTCTGATCATGTTCCATTGTTGTTGAACTGTGGCGGGCTGCGCAGCAGAAGTTCCCCTTTTAGATTTGAGAATATGTGGCTCCGGGATGAAGGCTTTTTGGAGCGAGTCCGATCCTGGTGGGCAGGGTATGGAGTGGTTGGCACTCCAAGTCATTCTTTGGCAGGCAAGTTGCGTTTTTTGAAGAATGATCTCAAAGTCTGGAACAAAGAGGTTTTTGATAATTTGGCTTGGAGAAAGAACCGGGTTCTCTCTGAGATTGCTGACATTGATAAGATGGAGAATCGGGGTCTTTTAACGGGTCCTTTGAAGCTTAGGAGGGTGAAGTGTCAAGCAGAGTTTGCTGAGATTGCAGTCATGGAGGAGATTTCATGGAGACAGAAATCTAAAGCTTTGTGGCTCAAGGAAGGAGACAATAACACTAAATTCTTTCATAGGCTCGCCAATGCTCATAGAAGGGGCAACCACATTGGGAGGATAAGGATGGATGGGGTGTTGATTAGTAAAGAGGAGGAGATATGTAAGAGTTCTTCTGAGTACTTTTCAAAGTTGTTCACTGAGTCAGCCGATTGGCGCCCTTTGCTGGATGGGCTTCAATTTGATTCTATTTCGGGTGAGGAGTGCTCTATTTTAGAGGAGCCTTTTTCCGAAGAGGAAGTTCTCTCTGCTCTGAAGAGTAGTGATGGGGATAAAGCTCCTGGACCTGATGGTTTTTCTATGAGGTTCCTTTTGGAGTGTTGGGAGGTGGTCCGTGAGGAGGTGATTGCCTCTTTTCATGCCTTCCATGTGCAGGGCTCTTTTAAGAAATGTTTGAATGCAACTTTTATAGCTCTTATTCCGAAGAACGGAGAGGCAATAGATGTTAGAGACTTTCGCCCTATCAGTTTGGTGGGATGTTTTTACAAGTTGACTGCGAAAGTTTTGGCCTCTAGGTTGAAGAAGGTGATGGATGGTGTCATTTCTTACTCTCAGAATGCTTTTGTGGGAGGTCGGCAGATTCTGGATTCAATTCTTATTGCTAGTGAATGTGTTGATTCCCGCTTGAGCAGTGGTGTTCCAGGTGTTCTTTGCAAGCTAGATATTGAAACGGCATACGATCATGTGAGCTGGAGTTTCCTTCTCTATCTGTTAGAGAGGATGGGTTTTGGTGGGCGGTGGAGGAGATGGATTCTTTTCTGCATTTCTAGCGCTCGTTTCTCTGTCCTTATGAATGGAGCGCCAACGGGTTTTTTCTCTAGCTCGAGGGGCTTGAGACAAGGGGATCCGCTTTCCCCTTTCCTGTTCCTTTTTGTGGAGGCTCTTAGTAGATTGCTGAAGAGGGCTGTGGAGTTGGGTTTTTTGAGTGGATTTCGGGTGGGCAGGGATGTTGCTAGTCAATTGGAGGTTTCTCATTTGATGTTTGCAGATGACACTATTGTGTTTTGTGATGCGGATGCGTCCCAGCTGAGGTATTTGAGATGCGTTTTGATTTGGTTTCAAGTTGTTTCTGGCCTTAAGGTTAATGTAGGCAAGAGTCTTCTTGTGCCTGTTAGGGATGTTCCTGGGATTGAGTTGTTTGCTCAGATCCTTGGATGTTGCACTGGCTCCTTTCCCATCTCTTATTTAGGTTTACCTTTGGAAGCCCCTTCCAGATGTGTGGGAAGTTGGGATCCAGTTGTGGACAGATTTGAGAGGAGATTGGCGGGTTGGAAAAAGCAGTACTTGTCTAAGGGGGGTCGAGTTACCCTGATTAAGAGCACTCTTTCTAGCCTTCCTACATACTTCATATCTCTGTTTCATATTCCTTCTTCAGTGGCTGAGAGAATTGAAAGACAGCTGTGTAATTTTCTTTGGGGAGGGAAAGGAGAAGAGTTCAAGTTTCACCTGGTTCGGTGGGATCAAGTGTGTCATCTAATTCGATTTGGAGGCTTAGGGTTAAGGAGGTTGTTGCCTTTTAATAAGGCTCTCCTTGGTAAATGGCTCTGGAGGTTTGGAATCGAGAGGCATTGGTTATGGAGGAGAGTTATTGCTAGCAAGTTTGGGGAAGGTCATGGGGGCTGGTGCTCTCGGGCGATGTGTGGTCCAAGGGGGGTGGGAGTATGGAACTTCATTCGAAGGGGTTGGGATGACTTCTGCAAGCCTGTTCGTTTTCGCATTAAAGATGGAAGGAGGATCAGTTTTTGGAAGGATCTCTGGTGTGGGGAGCTCCCTCTTGCTCTCGCTTTCCCACGGCTCTATAGGATTGCTTCTCACCAACAGGCCATGGTTGTTGACTGTTATCATCTTGATAACGGGAGACTGACTTGGGATGTTCAGTTCAAGAGGCATTTTAAGGATTGGGAGATCGAGGATGTTTCTCGTTTTCTGGAGCTTTTGTATAGCCAGGTGATTTCTTTTGGGGAGCCAGATGAGTGGCTATGGATTCCTAACTCGCAAGGCCGGTTTGAGGTTAGGTCCTTCTTTAGATGTCTTTCGGATAGTCAAGGTGAGCTCTTCCCCTAGAAGGCTATTTGGCGTTCTAAGGCTCCCCGCAAGGTCGCCTTTTTTGCTTGGACCTCTGTCCTGGGTAAGATTTTAACCCAGGATAATTTGAGGAGGAGTAATCAGTTGATCACCTCCTTTTACATTGCAGTATGGCCAGAGACTGCTGGGATTTGATGCTTCGTTTATTTGGGGTCCATTGGGCCATGCCCTATTCCTCTAGAGGGTTGATTAAAGCTTAGAGAGGCGTCTCTGTTAAGGTTGGTGTTAAGGATGCTTGGAGGGCTACGCCGCTTTGTATCTGGTGGTGTATTTGGCTCGAGAGAAATAGGAGATATTTTGACGGGAAAAAGAAGCCTATTTCTATGCTTAAGTTCTCTGCTATTTCTACTCTTTTTTGTTGGGTTTCAGGGAGAGATTATAGATATGGAGGAAATCATTGTTTTCTTGGCCTCTCTGAAGGTCTAAGGCGCCTTTTGGCCCTTTTTGTTTTCTTTTTGTTTTCTTTGAGCTTCGCTCCCCTTTTGAGCATATTTAATAAATTCTTACTTATCAAAAAAAAAAAAATAGTTGTCCCATAAGAAAAAAGTTAAGTAAAATACATCTTTCCAATAATACCCTTTCAGTTTTTAAAATTTATGAACTTGATACTTATATATCTAAACTTTAAAAGGTAACTTTGGAATTTTAAAAGGGGACAATGCATTAAATGCATGTCCCTTAAAATGGGACAGAAGGAGTAGCATACTTTTGCTAACTCGCCATGCATTCTCTCCATTGTTATTATCTCACGACACACTATCATCCCCTAAACACTTCCAAACCTCAATAGGGATGCCATTTTGTCCTAAATCCTTCCTAATTTCATATTCCTTAATATATTTTTAACCTGGCACTCGTGACCCTAAGGAAATATATGGTAGCCTAAGATTACTTTATTCTATAAGTATCAACTTCCTAAATGATTTTCTCTTAACAATATCTCAAATCAACTTTTCCATCTTTCTTTGATTTCATCATCTTTTACAAAAACCTTAAATCTTCATTCTTGATGCATTTAATATGGCTTAAATCTTCAATTCCCCTTTCCCTTGGTTTAGCAAGTTCATATACATTCTTCTCCCTTCTTTTGTGCAATAATTTAAAAATGTAGATCATCGTATACTTTAAATTTAGTTTCTCTCACTACTTTTTAACTTCCTTGTTAACATTTTTTTATTTTTTAATGGTTTTTCTATTTCTAGTTTTTTGCCAAACCTTATACACGTTTTGTTTTTACGATGTTTTGGACAGGTTCATTCCACAACAAGTTTCCTTGGATAATGATTGTGTTCCTTTTCATTCTCCAAGGATATTTTTAATACATTCAAGGGCAGTTTCATACAATTAATTCAGCAACTAAGCATAATAATAAATACATGTATATATATATATCCATATTTCCCCATAAGGGAAGGGCAGTTTGATACAGGGGACCATTTCTTAATGTCAACAACTATACATGATACCCTATCACTGTTCCATCAGGAGTAGTCTTCCAGTTTTTGTGTTGGCCATGTTTGGTCACCAATGGTCAGAGTTCAAATGTCCTAGACATTAAGTTCTGCACAGAGTTATCTGGTAATGTTTAGGTGTATTACTTCCTATTTAAGACTTCCTTTTTAGTGTGTTTCTCTGTCTTAAAAACATAAAGGCTGAAACCGGTGAAGTATAATGCATTATATCCTCTATGTACAGCCCTGGAAAGCAAATAAGTAACATTGAATTGTAATAACATGTTGTGGGCTCAGTAAAGTATTACTGGAAGGTAAGGAAAGATAATACACTTCATGTTTAAGGGAAAGAGTGGGAACAAAATACTTATTTTGTCAAGATGCATAACCTAATTATGGAACACAATGGAAATCTACCAATTTTTATTTTAGAAAACTACCACAGAGACGTAGATTGCAGTCAAAGAGACTTTTTAAGGAAAAGGTGTTAGCACCGATACTCAGAATTGAGGAAAGAAAAATGATTTGTGGCTTTGAGACATGTAGTCACTTTCTTTAACATGTTATTTTTCCCCACTCTAATTGAGTTTGTTATCAAGTTCTATGACCAAACACCTCCAAAATACAAAGAAGTCGGAATCTGCAGTTAACAATACAGAAGAATTCCCTTGAACACTTGGTGAAACTGTTTATAATTTGACTGAAGATAGTACATAAAGAGATAGAGAGACAATAGTATATTACATTATATATAATTTCCTAAATCAAGTACCCTATTTTTAGAGTAGGGTTGGTTGCCAATTTGAATCCAAAAGTCACCACTGAATAGACATGTATTTTAGGAATAAATGTAACTATTCAAGAATATGTACAACTCTTCAAGAATAGATGTGTTCGTTCAAAATACTTGGAAGAGACTAACTTTTAGCAACAGGTATTTCATATACAACCTTTCACTCATTTCACTCCTTATATCACAATATATCTAACGAAAGGATTGTGTCAAGTACAACAACTGTGTGAGAAATTTAGAAGGCTACCATAGTGGCTTCAAGCGAATTTTGGATGAGTTGAAGCAACACCAATAGGAAGAGCTTCAGGACTTTGGAATGCAATATATTGCCTGTTGTGCTAGTTGTAACATGCCGACGATTGCCTTCCAACCCAAACGCTTAAGCTATTAGATGATGTTGCATACTTGTCCTTGTAAGTTACAAGCACAAGACTAGGGGGTGGCAAAATTCGACATGACCTGCCAACACTACACGAAGTTATTGGATTTGGTTGAACTTAATTGTGTTTGTGTCATAATCGTGTCAAACGGTTTAATTAATCATGTCGTGTTCGTATTTTGAAGTTCAACCCGTTTAATTAATCGTGTCGTAATTGTGTCAGGTGAACCCAATTAAGCCGTAACTTGTTTTAACCCAATTACAATGAGCATTTCTATTATTTCAATATAAATACACTATGGATATTGTATTTGGCCTTTTAAAAAAATTGTCTTGTCCAAATTATTCTATTTTCATGAATTTAGTCATTCATTATTTCACGTTTTTCATTATATTTGTATTTTACGGACCCATTTAAGTTAAACAGGTTAAAAATGCCAAAAAACGAGTCGTATCATTACATGACCCGATTATTAAGCAGGTTACACAAGTCGAGTCGGATCGCCAGTTTAATAAACAGCCCGTGTTCGTATCGAGAGTACTTGACACGATTATTAAACGAGTTAACCTGTTTAGCATAATACTCATAGGTCGACAAGATATAATTACAACCCGCCAACATGAATTGCCACCCCTACCTAGGACCCTCCCTATCCATATCTGATATAGGACAAGAACCCTTTAAAATTCTCCCCACCCTGAACTCGCAACACCCTTGTCACAATCAGACCACCCAGCCTACCCATCCCTTCTAAGGGCAGGAGGACCCAGTAATGACCCTGACCCAAGTACCACCCAGGCAGACACTTGACATGACACCACATCAAGGACGGGGCCTGCTTTGATAATATTGGTAAGAGGCTGAGAGTTGCCCTGCAACTCAATTGCTTAAGCTATTAGGTGGTGTTGCATAGCCACCCTTATAAGTCCAAAACCCTCCCATCCAGATCCAATGTGGGACAAGAACCCAACACTTGTCTAATACACTTTTGAATGTCTACTTTTTACATTATCAAGCTACCATGTAGCCATATCAATTTCCATAATGCACAAGTCAAGGTGTCGTAAGATAGATGTTAGTTAATATATGTAACTCTAGAACCGATGGGGAAAGAAAATTGATATGATAATAGTACCAAGATAAAATTAATAATATAAGAAGAAACAAACAATGCACATAATAGATAATCATAACTTTGATAATCTTCAACCTACATTGGGATCTAGGACATCTTACATGTTAATACTGGGGGGGGGAGGAAACCTGATTTAAGTAGATTATTTTTTCAACTAAAATTCTTTCAATGAAGTTCCAAATCTAGCTAACACCAAATCTTCCTTCAACACTTAAACAAAAAATGGTTAAAAGAAATAGGCTACCTGTGTAAGGGTGGATGAATCGGACTCCATGGAGGCAATCTTTCTCTGTTTTTCCAAAATCTGCGAACAGATCAGCCCCTTTGCCTTCACCATCTGATCAGTATCCTCTTTAAGTCTCCTTATATCAGATTTTGCTGCATTGTTACACAAGTTCAAGGAAATACTAATATGCAAAAATAGCAAAGATTTTCACAACATAGTACAACTTCAATATAGAATATCTTCTCTTTCCTGATGTTGTTCTGAAACCCATTTGCTTAGATATCTGCAAGTATATCAAGAGCTCATCTAGGCAATTTTTAGACCTGCTAACTATATTTTCAGATAATGAAATACAGAAACATAAAGCACTAGGCCACAGTTAACTGTAAGCAGCTAAGCAGTCACTAAAGCTGCTAATAGGACCACGAAAGCAAAGCTCTAGCTAATTATCATTTTATACTTCTAGATGGTTGCTTAATTCAACAACTTGCCCTGGCAATGTTTCAATTATGCACTCGACTGGACTATGATTAATTGTATAAAATATCACTCTGATGATTCAACATAAACCTCAGGAAAATCATGTAATATTAAGTACCTAAGCATTCATGCTTCTTAAAAACATCATATTATGGGAAAGCCTGTATCACAAACTAAAGATTATAAAAATGCCCTTAAACTAACAGTCTAGGAAGAATAGAAAACATTCAACTTTTTTCTCAATCCTTCTTTCTACATTAATTCTTTTCAATTAATGGTCGAAGATTTTGAGCAACAAAAACTGATAAGAAGAATCTTCTAAAAGCGGTGACCACTGAATTTGATCCCCTTTCTGTTTCCAATTTATACCAAGAAAATACAATGTACCAAAAGAGCGTTCTTATCAAAGTTAACGAGGCAAAGATCACAGATCAGACCTAAACATTGGTATCATTACACTATACAGCCTGCCCCCAGCATTTTAAATCTGGTTCATTAAACAAGGTCTGTTGGCCTGGATTTGCAGACATTATGAAAACTATGTTGCATGTGGCATGACAAAAAATCATAAAAATATGCAAGTTTTTAAGAAATTTAATTGTAAAATAATGTTATTAAAATAACTCAACTCTCCTAATTGTCAAAGGCTCACCTAGACCCCACATCCCCAGGCTTGTCAAGACTAAATCGGTTCACCTTAATCTATATGCAGGCCAGACCGCTTCAGTCATGCACAAATAAATTCCTCAGCCTCGGAGGATCATATATTTAATCTTATAATGTTTGTCACTTTGTCGGGATTCACAGCCTTGGATATGCATTAAATGATTCTTGTATTTATGGTAAATATAATATATGTTGAAAATCTACATGATTATATTATTTTATTTTGTTGCTCACTTCTAATTGCACTTCATTCTTTTAATGCACCTGCATAACAAATATATAGACGCACATTGACTTACCTAGCTCTCTTTGTTGATATGCCAAAAGAATTCATTCCTGAAAAAGTTTGACTAATATTGGTTGCATATTTTAAATTGCTTGAAACAGTACATTGATTTGATTGAATTCATATTCAAATTGAAAGAACATATATGCATTGATCTAGGTTTTTGTTGAATTGATGTGCTCAAGAGTTATTTGTTTTTTTAACTTGACAAGTTTTGTTGCATATTTTAAACATTTCAGCAACTATGTTTATCATACGTAATACCACACAAGGATTGGGCTCACACCTTACCTAAGCATTTTAACAACCATCGTCCATAATGTATGGATTCAAAAGACACACACACAGAACATTTTTTCTTTTTTAATTATCTTGTATTTTTAAAGTAAATTTTGATAGGACAAAAGATGCACAGCGAAATATAAACACACAGCAATGTGTTTGTGTGCATGCTGATCGTACACAGAGAGAGAACGAGGGAAAGAGATAGAAAATACAGCAGAGTTTAAGAAAGAAGAAGAAACCTAAATCAAGGTCTTTCTCCAAAATTTCAATTGTCGTGATCTGCATTTGCTCTTCAACAGAGATCTTTGCTACTTGATCTTCAACATCTTCAGTATCAGAATTTACGAATTAATTAGGCTGAGCACAGTTCAAAACTATCCACCGATTGAAACAGATTAACAGATTTCCTAAATCAACATTTGAAATTCAACTCCCATCGCTATTTTAGATGAATGTATGTATGTATATAAATATATATATATATATATATATATATAGAGAGAGAGAGAGAGGTATATATATACCGTTCATTTGAGAGCGCAAGGTCTTCATGTACTGCAAATACTCTTCCATCTTCACTGCCTTTCCGGACCTGAGAGAAACATACGCACACAGAGATTCCGATATTAAATTGTTAAGCTATTCAGAAATTTGAATCGAAATTATGTGCTTGGAGAGAGAAAACGATGAAAGATTGATCGGTGAACGTACAGTTACTCTAGAGAGAGAGGGAGAGAGAATTGGAAATAGAGAGAACAGTAGTACGATAGAAGAAAGAAAAGGAAAATTGGGAGGGAAAGCAGAAACGCTTCGTGCTACTCAGAAAGGAACTTCGCACAAAAACGTTTGAATACATAATGATAGGTCTGATTCTTTCCTTCGAACTACGCACAAAATTTCAACTAAATTTTTTATCGATTTCGATTTCGATTTTAAGACCTTTTGGGTGTGTCTGGCAGGGTTTGGGTAACTTAATTGGAGAGAAAATTAGGGAGAGAAGGATAGGGAAGTAAGTTGTAGATTCTTAATATCAAAAATATCCTTCACAAAATAATATAAAAAAAAAATTATTTCATTTATGTCCTAATTTTGTTTTTATCCATTAATTTTTTTTTTTTTTTGTTTTTACCCATTACATTAAACTATCACAAAGAAACATTCTAAATATCTTACGTGAAATTTTGAAAATAAATAATATGTGAAGTGATTATTAAAGGGTAGGATAGTAATTTGTTCGCTATCCTTTCTGTTATGTTTTCTCTTCTATCTTATCCAAACAAGAATAACTATTATTTCTTTTCTTTTCTCTCCTATCTATCCAAATACGAATTAAAATTATTACTATCATTTCTTTTTTTTTCTTTTCTCTTCTAACTAATACTATCATTTCTTTTATTTTCTCCCATGTCTATCCAAACACACCATTTGTTTTCATAAATGCAAGCAATACTTAACTCTTATCTAGAGTATTAATAATTTAAAGCAAAATCCTTTTTTTCTTTTTCTTTTTTATGTCCTTTGGTAAGAAACTTACACGCCCATTTTTTATGCTCTACAGATTTAAACTTGTAACTACCCGAACCCAGAGGTCCGAATCATTATTCAGGTCCTTAATCGAACCCAAGATCATCTAGGGGCAATACGGTCATTTGCGATATCAAAATGTAATTAATACATCATACTATGCTTTAGAGTACTCAATAGCATCGTTAAATGGATCGGGATTGGACAAATTTGGAAAAGAACAACAAATGGAGGAACTACAGGAATCAGTCGACATGTGCAGGTCACATGTCGACCACTCTAGCTAAATCGGTCGACGCCTAGGTGTAGACATCGACTGGTTTGGCTTTGCATAGTAAAAAGAAGGGATAGTATTAGGCCATGTCATATCTCAAAGAGGAATTGAAATTGATAAAGCAAAAGTGGAGCTCATTTCCAAATTGCCTCCACCTTCTACGGTGAGTGAGATCCACTCCTTCTTAGGTCATGCTGGCTTCTATCGCCGCTTCATCAAAGATTTTAGCAAAATTACTAGACCTTTGTGCAATCTTCTCGCCAAGGAGACACCGTTTGTCTTTGATCAAGCATGCCTAGATGTTTTTCATCAACTTCACATTCTTCTATCTTCCACCCCCATCATGCAACCTCCAAATTGGTCATTACCATTTGAGATTATGTGTGATGCTTTCGACTATGCAATGGGTGCCGTCTTGGGCCAAAGGGTGGGTAAGCTTCCATATGCCATATACTATGCAAGTAAAACTTTATCGGGAGTTCAACTAAATTACTCCACTACCGAGAAGGAGTTACTTGCCGTAGTGTATACCCTTGATAAATTTCGGTCATATCTCTTAGGATCAAAGGTGATTGTGTTTTCCGATCATGCCGCTCTTAGGCATCTATTGTTGAAAAAGGAAACCAAACCACGCTTAATAAGATGGATTTTACTCTTCGAATAATTTGACTTTGAAATCAAGGATAAGTAAGGCTCCGATAATGTCGTTGCCGACCACCTCTCAAGGTTGATGGCTGAATCTTCCCTAAGTCTTCCAATTCGTGATTCTTTCCCAGATGAGCAATTTTTTCACATTTCCAATGGGAAGTTGCCTTGGTTTGCCGATGTTGTGAACCACCTTGCAATTGGCAAACTTCCCACCAATTGGTCAAGACAAAAAAAAGATTGATTCTTTACTAACATCCGGAAGTACTATTGGGAAGATCCCATCTTGTTTTGTTATTGCCCGGATCAAATAATAAGGAAATGTGTGCCGGAGAGTGAGATTCCAAGTGTTCTTGTATTCTGTCACACACTTACATATGCTGGACATTTTAGTGCAAAGAATATCGCCTTGAAGGTTCTTCAAAGTGGCCTATTTTGGCCCATTATTCATAGAGATGCTTACAACTTTTGCAAGGTGTGTGTGCGATACCAAAAAATGGGATCAATGTCAAAGAGAGACATGTTGCCCTTAACTCTGGTTCTTATGGTTGAAATTTTTGATGTTTGGTGCATTGACTTTATGGGACCATTCCCAATGTCTTATGGCTTCCAATATATCCTCCTTGCCGTCGATTATGTTTCCAAGTGGGTTGAGGCTTGTGCTACCAAAACGAATGACCATTCCGTGGTGGTTCAGTTTATTAAATCAAACATCTTTACTCGTTTTGGTATGCCAAGGGCAATTATTAGTGATGGAGGAAAGCATTTTTGCAATCAATTCTTGAAGCTACTCTTCTTGAAGTACTCTGTCACTCACAAGGTTGCCACTCCCTCCCATCCCCAAATAAGTAGGCAAGTTGAGGTTTCAAACCAGGAAATTAAGCAAATTCTTAAAAAAACGGTGAACACAACCCGGAAGGATTGGTCAAGGAAATTAAATAATGTTTTGTGGGCTTATCGGACGGCTTACAAGACTCCAATAGGCATGTCTCCTTATAGACTTGTTTATGGGAAGCCTTGTCATCTTCTCGTTAAACAAGAACATAAGGCTTTATGGGCAATCAAAAAGCTTAACCTTAATCTTGATAAGGCCGGTGAGAACCGTTAACTCCAATTGAATGAGTTAGAGGAGTTAAGACATAATGCCTATGACAATGCTAAACTCTATAAAGAAAGGACCAAAGCTTTTCATGATAAACACATTGTGAAGAAGTCCAGCCCGGGCAAAAGGCATGACTCTTCAATTCTAGGCTCAAATTCTTTCCCGGGAAACTTCGCACAAAATGGGAAGGCCCTTATCAGATTATCTCCGTTTCTCCTCATAAAGCGGTTGAAATCAAAAGTTTGAAAGATGAGAAAATCTTTAAAATGAATGGTCAAAGGTTGAAGCCTTACATTGAAGGGCAAGTTATTCAAAGAGATGTGGAAGCTGCCCTCTTGGTGGATCTCATCTATGATGAAGACTAAGAGCGAATTCAACTTCTACTAGAGACGCTAAACCTAGTCATTTTAGGGTTTCCAAACTCTAAGTTTTGTGTACATTTTTCCATCTTTTCTTCACTCATTCTTCTTGTTACCATCTTGGGGCTTAACACAGGATCTTTTGTTGTTTCATCTCAAAATGAAGCATTTTGTACCAGTTTGATCGATCCAAGAGTACCTTCGATCAATCCGAGTGCTTTGAGATCGATCTGTGAACACTACACTTAGAAAAATCTTGAAGGTCTCAAAAATTTCAGCTTTCTATCCCATCGTGAGAACTTCCTTACAAAAATCGAGCTTCTGTTACATCGTGCGAACATTTCTGTTTGATCGTTGTAAGCACTCTTCGATTAATCCAAGTGTCCTTGTGATCGATCTCAATTCCATACTTAGAAAAATTTTCAAAATCCAAAAATGTCAAGCTTCGGTTGCATCATGCGAAGTTTGGACCCAAAAATCAAGCCTCGGTCCCATTGTGTGAACTCCTGGATCGATCATACCGAGATCGATCTAAGATATCTTCTTTTATTTAATTTATTTCTTTTAATTTTTTTTTATTATTTCAGTTTATATTATTTAATTTATTTATTTTAATTCACAAAAAAAAAAAAAAAAAAAAAAAAAAAAAATTCACCATTGTGACCTATGTGTAGTCATGCATTTTTCCATGTTTTATTTAGGGCTTGATCTCATATCTCTCTTTCATCTTGTGTTATATGGCCTTAGAGTGTATGATTTGCTCTCTTTCTCCCATTGTGATACTTGATGTGAGTTTGCTAGTGTGGTTATTCTCAAATAGGTTTTTAATTTCAAGTTTGAGGGTGCCTTCTCTTACATGGATCATTGCTGGGCTTCATAGGTTTTGTCACCATGGTATACTCTTTCCATATTTTCCATTGTTCTTATTGCACATTCAGGATAATGTGCGGTTTAAGTTTGGGGGTAAGATGATTTTGTTGCATTCTACTTAAAGTTTTGAGCTTTGAAATCCATTTTAGCAATGATTTTGATCTTTTGAAGGTTGTGTTTCTTAGAATTTAAAAATTGCTTGACTTGAGAGTTCAATACTCCTTGTATGCCTTTAGGATGCCATTTTGGGGCAAATTTTTCAAAAGATTGATATCATGTTTGCTTTTGTGGTCCACATCATCTTGTTTGTGAGATTGTTTTAAGATTCGACTCTAGAGTTCTACACTTGCACATGCGCACACTAGTATCATTTGTGGGGTACATACTTAATTGATCATTGCTTTGGTTATATCCCAATTGAGCTAGTAGGCTTTGAAAGCTCTCATTCTTGACAAAATGACCTTGCATGCTAATAACAAACCTTTTACCGAGTAGCCGGTAACTAGCCTCATTAAGTATTGAATTCTCGTGCCGAAAAGTGAAGGCCCACGCAATAGTCTCTAAAATATATATATATATATATATATATATATATATATATAATTTGCAAAAGCAAAAGAAAAAGAAAAGTGAGTGTTTCTCACAAAAGGTGGGAAGTAGGAAAATGATTAGATAAGAGTTGTTTTAAATTGTAGCCTAATTGATTTGAGCTTGTAAGTCCTTAGGGGTGTCTTTACACCTAATGCCCTAAAACCATCCGGTTTGGGAGTCGTTGACCTAATGCTCACTAAATGGATCTTCTAGAAAGCTTAAAAGATCACTACATTGCACCATACTCTTTGTCTTTGATTCTAAAAAAAAAAACATGTAGGACATAAATTGAATAAAGATGTTCATTCTTTGTCTTGATGATTGGTACTAGATTTGTGTGCTAGCTTGAGTCCGGTTGTGCCCATTTCATTAATTTACTAAGACAGCAACATATTTGATGTCAGTTCACTCAAGAAGAATACTAGAGTTGTTTTGATTTGCATGATCATCTTGCTTGGTGTGTGAAGGACCATATTTGTTTGTTTGTTGTTGAAATTCTGGGAGATTGCTTAGAGATGGTTGAAAAATGGCATACTTAAGGTAGTTTTCTTTCAATGCTTGTTTGGAATGTTGGTACCTCTTAAGTGAGAAAGAGCTTGATGTTTGTGGGTATCATTTCTGG